ATGGATGAATGGACGATGGATGGATGGATGGAGGATGGATGGATGTACAGTACAGTGTCCGGTTCATTGGTGGGACTGAGATGAGGTGCAGAGAGGTGAAGGGGCTCTGGTGGGCTGGTGGTGGGCTGGTTTGGGGGGATTAGCAAGAGGCCGTGGGCCCTGAGGCAGAGGGCCTTGTTTCCTGGCCTGAGCCCCTGTTTGTCCTGCCTGACCTGGCAGCTCCGGGGGCAGATCCTGCCTGGATACATCCCTGCTCCCACGCCTGTCTGAAGCTGTTAACCACTGGCTGTGAGTAGGTAGCTGCATGGGCTTAGTAATGTCTGAGCTGTGGCTGGGTGGTGGTGGTGGGAGTGGGGGGAGGGGGAGGGGAGAGGGTCCAGTCAACTGTGGGAGTGGGGTTATCAGCTGCTGTGTAAGAGGCATAGTGGTTTAACATGCAGGCCACAAAAAATGACCTTTCCTTGAGCTCATCAACATTATTGAGATGATCCATTTTCTTCCATATTTGTTTTTCAGCATCTGACTTGTTCCACAACTTTTATGCTATTTTAACTATTCATGTAACAAAACGTTCAGAATGAGCTGAACGTGTGCTATGGTGTTTGGTGTTTCAGCAAATTAAACCTTTTCAGCTATTTAGCTTTTTCTGACATTTTTTTTCTCATTGAAGATTAATAAAGTTATTATTGAACATCCTTAAAACACTTTGAAATGTTTATAAATCTTTACTACACTTTTACCCTGTTGTTCTGGTTCTGCTTCATTCAACTTTGTGCTAATTTCATCTTCCTTCAACTTCTTTTTTTCCTAATTTGAGTTATTTTTTCTGCTTTTCTACTATTGTTCTGCTTTTTTCAGCTGTTAATTTAAATTGGCTTCTATCAACTTTTTTTTCCTGCTAATTTTTATGCTTCTTGTAGCTGATTTCAGCCAATTTCAGCTGTTTTCAGCCTTTTCAGCTACTTTGTAGTTAATTTCAGCTAAATGTAGTTTTTTCATCTAAATTCACCTTTTTGTGATAATTTCAGCTTTGTATTGCCCGATTAGGCAAAGTGCACTTTCTTTGTCTTTGTGCTAATTTCAACTTTTTCAGCTACTTTTGAGCTATTGTTTCTGCTAATTCAGCTATTTTACAACAAATTGCAACTTTCTTGTACTCCTTTTCTTGTTTTTCTGCCAATGTGAGCTTTTTTTAACAGTCCTTTACCATCTGTCTGCTATTTTCATCTTGTTTCAGCAAAAGTAAACTGTTTAAATTTACAGTAACCCACATTATCAGCTTTGATATTCAACATTTTCAGCGTCTTCAGCAGCTTTCAGGAAAATCTTTCAGGATTAAGTAGCTATTAATACCGCTTTTTGCTGTAAATACAAATTCTCTGTAGTTTTTGATAGCACCTGTGAAACAAATGGGCTAAACTCTGCTGATGTCACTCAACCAGTGTAAAGTGATATTTGAGTAAAAGTACAAGTATCTTATCATAAAAATACATTGGTAAAGGTTAAAGTCTTCTCTAAAAATATTACTTGAGTAAAAGTTTTAAAGTATCTGTTTTTGTACTTAAGTATCAAATGTAAATTTCTGACACAAAATCTACTTAAGAATTAAAAGTAAAAGTACTGAGTAAAACTGAGCAGTTAGATTTTCAAAAATGACATTTACTGGGAGGTGACCTCAAAAAATATTTTTCTGACGGCGTGCAGCTGTGATGGGTTGTGTACAAACTAATAGTGTGTCAGAATGGTATATGTTTATACTTCTCATCCAACCACAATTAAATTCACTCTATCCAGGAGACACACTTTATCAGGATAGTATTTTTTTAAGTAATAACAACTTGGAATAAAATCGGAGTAACGACTTTCTACTTCTTACCTTTTTGAAAAATGTAGTGAGTAGAAAGAACAGATAATTGTGTAAAAATGTAATGAGTAAAAGTAAAAGTATACTGAAAAATAATCACTCAAGTAAAGTACAGATAATCAAATTTTCTACTTAAGTACAGTAACAAAGTATTTGTACTAAGTTACTTTACAACTCTGCACTCAACAAATGATGCTGCGGACCTTTGACAGTGAATGATGAACACAAAAAATAAAAATAAAACATAAATATCCCATAATTTGACAGTGCTTTAAATTCAGTTTGGTTATTATGAAATCTTTCCAAAAAACATTCTGTGATTTCTTGCTCTTAATGTCTCCTTTATATTAATTTATTTAACTTTTTCTTTTCAGCTTACCAAATATCCAGGCATCACTGTGACACTGCCCGGCTCAGACATCATCCTCACATCCCTCCTTGCTGTTAAAATCAATGGAAGCTGGTGGTCATTAACTGTAACCCTCTGTTATCCTAAAACAATCAAATAAAAGAACTGYGGCTGTCAGGGTGCTTAAAGGGTGTTGTCCGTGCAACAACTGTGTGCACAACAGTGTTTTTACTTCAGAATCCGTAAGATAACACATCTCCTCTCCACCAAGAGGCCTGTTTGATTATCACTTTTCAAAACTAAAAATGAAATGTGAGGATATTGACTTTACTTCCTCAAAAGCTTTGATAGCTCAATTGCCTGTTTTTGGAGCCTTGTTRTTATTTTTTCAGCGGTTGGATTGGCTGTTGGGTTTGGTGTGTATACTATGATAAAGTGCAGATCTGTGAGTGTTGTTTCTGCCCTGAATATACAGCTGCCAGTGAAAGGCCGTAGAATAGCAGGGATACAGAGAAAGGATCACTAAAACTAAATCGCTGTTTCGGTTTCAGAACTCCTACAGTTTTGGATTGAGACGATGGTTCGGTGATGTTCAGCTGTGGTTTTAGTGCGGCGTTGTGTTGTAAAAAGTATTTTGCAAACCTATTATAGGCTAGTTAAATATCATTTCGCTTGTTAAAAATCAATAATATCTGCAACAGAGCTCAGTTCAGAGTTAAATTTCAAATGATTTCACTCGTCAAATGCATGGGAAATTATTGTTGGAGATGGCTTTATAAGTTTAACACTGGTTCTGTGCACTTCCTGTGTTCTTCTTATTGGTCAAGCAACAAAAATGTAATGTTTGTATGTTTTTCAAATGATTTTAGAAACTCAGTTCAGCTCTGTGTGTCAATATGATTGAGGGAACATTGTGTTTTAGTACTGAGCATGTTAACGCATTATTGTCACTTTAACACCGCTGATGCGTGTTGACGCACAGACAAACCCAGTGGTCACAGGGGGCAGGATCTTGATCACTGTTGGTTTTAGATGGCCATCATTATGCATCTAGACCAATGAGAGCCTTAGTCGTAGGGCAGCACCACGGCGCTCACGTGAACTCAGGAAATGAGCAGCGTGGACGGAAACACTGAGGACATCACTGGACTTTGGGCATTTTTATTTTAAAACTCTTCCCGATGGTGGGCTGGTTAGAGCTGTAAGCCCTGCAACACTGAACTGTCTTACCACTGAGGTCGTTTGTGCAGATGAGGCAGATCAGCATATGGTTGCTTTATTTGTTCACAGTTTTTGAAAAGGCATTAAATCTTTTTCATATAAAAGCCTACAAACATCTTAGAGTCATGATGTGATTTTGTGTTTAAAAATTAGATTAATTGCAAATAATCTAAACAAATATCTTGAGGTTAATCACAAATTTTTTTCATCCATTACCAGCAAATTAATCTGTGAAAACATTTAAGCTGCTGACAAACTCGATCAAATTTTGTTTCGTATGTCCTGATGCATCTCAGTAATCCAGGCAGTAAAAAAATCAAAAAGAAAAAATAAGTAGTTGCTCTGGATGGGCTCTTCTTTAGTTCTTCAGTCTGATGAAGTCTCTTGGAGGAGAGACGAAGTGTTTCACTAAAGAAGAACCCATCCAGAGGACCTACTTTTTAAAATTTGTTTCATATGTTTATAAATTGACTGCATGAAATTAAGTCTAAAAGGGAAATTTTCCTGTCACAATAAACTGTGGCCCCCTGCTGGAACTTCTCTTGATCCGCCACTGGTGTTTGGGAATTACTGAGAGGAGAGAAAAAAAATCACAAGTTAATTTATGTACATTTTATGTGAATGCTTCTAAAAAAGCACTTAAGATCTTTTTTTTTTCTTCCTTGTATTTTTCAGCACCTCTCTTGTTCAGCAGTTTTAGTGCTATTTTTACCATTTCAAAATGTCCAGCTCAGGATATTCCTGCTTGGTTTACTTTTTGAGATATTTAGATTTTCCATGTTATCTCGTTGAAAATAAATGGACGTATCTTCAGCATCCTTAAAACCCTTTGAAATGTTCAAAAAATTGTATATGTTTAATCTTGTGTTCTGGTTCTGCCTTTTCCAACTTTTTTTGCACTGATTTCAGCTTCCTGTTTTTCTGATTTTAGCTTCTTACATTTTTTTAGACTTCTTTCTGACCTCTCATGATTCTTCTGCTAATTTCAGCTTTTTATGCTTATTTTAGCTGTTTTCTGTTAATTACAGCTGCTTTCTGGGTTTTTAGCTATACCTTTTAGATAATTTGAGCTTTTCACAATCAAATTGACCTTTTTGTGTGATAATTTCAGCTTCTTACTGCTTGATTCAGCAAATCCGTGCACGTTATGTTTCTTTGTACTAATTTAATTTTTAAATTGATCTAGCTGTTTTATAGCAGTGTTTCCCAAAGTTGGGGTCGGGACCCAAAGTGGGGTCCTGAAAAGATTTTCTGAATTAATTACATTTTTGCCTTAGTTGTTACAAAGGGGTGAGGTTAGTGTATTTAAAATGGATAAATGTAGTATAAAAATATTGTTACTATGCCCATGTTTTGTTGACCTGATACAAATGTTTATCATCCACAAATAGTTGTGGGCACAGGTCTCTGCTACTGTTATTTTGTGGGTCAAAAGCTGAAAAGTTTGGGAAGCATTGTTTTATAGTTTCACCTTTTTATTCGGCAGAATTATTTCAACGTTAAACTTTCACTGTAAATTATCTCTGACCAAATGAAAGAAGGGCCGTCACATCTGTATGAGGAATAATGAGTTTTTTTGGTGGGTGGTGATGAGTCCTTGTGCGTCAGCCGGTGGCGTCACTCCTGCCCGGTCCTAAAACTGTCAGCGCCTTCCTCTCACCTGGACTGACACGCACCACTGAAGGCCGGCCAGGAGCTCGTTTTCGGCCGCACCAAAAGGTCAGAGCTGCTTCCTCCGTCTTCCTCCGCTGAATCTTTTAGGCCACACCGCGTCTTTTATGACTCTGGCAAATTATTCCTACTTCTCTGGCATGATGTGCAACATGAGCGCAGAGCCGTCGCCAGCAGAGGCCAGCCCTGTGGTCATGTCTCCACACATGGGTCTGGACTCTCCGCTGCCTCCGGCGCCTCTGACGCTGCAGGCCCGGCCCAAGGACAACGTTCTGATCAAGTCTGAGCCCCGGGGGGGCAGCCCCGGCACGGAGGACGGAGGCGCTCCGGGTCAGACCGAGGAGCACCTGCCGGCCGGGAGCCGCCGCAGGAAGAGGCCGGTCCAGAGGGGCAAACCCCCCTACAGCTACATCGCGCTCATCGCCATGGCCATCGCCAACTCCCCGGAGAGGAAGCTCACCCTGGGGGGCATTTACAAGTTCATCATGGAGCGCTTCTCTTTCTACAGGGAGAACTCCAAGAAGTGGCAGAACTCCATCCGACACAACCTGACCCTGAACGACTGCTTTGTGAAGATCCCCAGGGAGCCCGGCAGACCCGGGAAGGGCAACTACTGGACCCTGGACCCGGCGGCGGAGGACATGTTTGATAACGGGAGCTTCCTGAGGAGACGGAAGAGGTTCAAGCGCACGGATGTGAGCACCTACCCCGGTTATATGCAGAGCTCCAGCGCCTTTACCCCCACACCGATGGGCCGGCCGCCGTACCCCAACACCCTGTACGCGGGGATCGGCTCAGGCTACGGGTCCCAGCTGACAGCCGCGTCCCCGCACCCGGCCATGATGCACCACTACCAGACCCCCTCCTCCGGGGTGGGCCAGGGAGGACAGCCGCGCATGTTCAGCATCGACAACCTCATCAGCCAGCAGACAGGGGGGGTGCAGCAGGGCGCGGACCTGAACCCTCAAACCCTGGGTCTGGCCGAGTTGGGCGCGATGACCCCCAGCTGCGCAGTGACCGGGCCCGAGTCGTGCTTCCAGAACCAAACTGTCAACCCGAACATGCTGGGCAGAAACAACCTGACCTCCGGRTACCAGTACTCCTCCTCCTCCTCCTCGGCCTCCCCTCCGAGCCTGCCCTCCTCCTTGAGCCAGGCCGGCTTCTCCCCGGGGGGCTCGCAGGTGTACTGCCCGGGGAACCGGCTGTCCCTGCCGGGCCTGCGCCACGGCGCGTGCTCGGAGCACCCGGAGCAGCTGCTGGGCCTGTCCGCCCCCATGAACTCCTACAACAACAGCTACATGAGGCAGGGCAGCTTCGGCTCAGGCCTGGACAGGTACATGTGACTCTGACTGCTGACTTTAACATTCACACAGAACACATCCATCTGGTTTCTCCTCAGAGGAAAACGGTCCTTTTTCAACTTAAAGCCATGTCGACACATTTCACACAGTCCACCACGTGTTCCTGTTTTATTTACAACTTGTTTTTATCTTTACATGTTGTGTGTGTTTTTTTAGTTTTGATATTTTTGTATAAAATTAGGTTTTTCTGACTGAGTTTCTTTTTTAAAAATGTGATWTTTTTTTACATTTAAATAAAAACACCTTTTGTTTGTGCTTATTAAAGCATCATGTTTGTCGTGTAACTTGTGTTTGAAATCAAAATGAAACTTTATGAACAGTTTAATTCATTTAGAAACACATAATTTATATTTCAGACTAAAGGCACCAAAGTTTTTACTCTGAAGCTTTTAGGAAAGAATGCTTTAATGCAGTTATGGAGTTTAATTTCCATAACTTAAGCACCTTTTGACACAAGTGCATTTTGACACTTTTTTTTATACTAAACGAAGTTTTATTAGTAGATGAAGTGTGTTTCTGACATCAAAGTGCTCTTAAATCAGTAAAAACTTTGTGTAATTATCCTCTATTGGTCCAACCAAACGAAC